TCCCTACTAAATTACTACGTAGTATGACTTTTTACTAGATACAGCCTTTCTAGGAGCTAATATCCTATTCTTGTTTGGGTGTGGAGCAGAGAACCACATACATGTTTACTGTTGCTATTTAAGTTTCCTGATTAAGTGTTCTAATCCCCAGTGTTACATTTGAGAAACTGTGAACATCACATACCTTCCACACAGTTAGTGGAGAAGAAAGCAATGTTCCGGGTCTCCAGTGGGTTCTCATTGGTGAAGTCTGGAGACCTGGTCTGTGGTTCTGATTCACCAGTGAGTGAAGAGTTGTCTACCTGCACAGCGGAGATCAGAGTTACGCTTATAAGCAGAAATTAAGAGTGAAAAACACTAGAATTCTAGGCACTTCTATACCACTACTTAAAAAATAATGAAAGGATATCCTATGCAGTCAATTAGAAACATGATTTCCATAAGTAGAACATGAGATCCCAGACACTTTGATGCACCCACCTTACAGCCATGAGCGGATACGATGCGAAGGTCAGCTGGAATTCGGTCTCCCCCCTTCACTTCCACTAGATCTCCGACTACAACGCCTTCAGCATTTATGCTCAGCTTCTCACCACTTCTGATCACAAGGGCTTGCTGCAAAGTAGTCAAGAGGTACACTGCTTTAAAATAGATTTTTATAATAATGATAATAATAACAACACGCCTAATAATAAGAAAGAGAAGGCAGGGAATATTTTTAAATAGTTGTGCAAGCAGTCAAAAGGTATGCACTTAGATGGGCATCGGATTGAAAAAAACCCACTGGCTTGCTCTTCCTGAAATTATAGCTCCTGTTGTCATGATGACTCCACCGTTGTCAGATGCGATATGGGATTTTTATTCTCTACAGCAGCTAAGTTTAAAAAGTGCTTTCTAACCAAGCCAAATAGAGAACCAGCTGCAGAAGTGTTCTGCTAGATGGTAGAGGTGCTCAGTAAAGAGCATAGCCAGCGTATATTAGCAAGGCTATCATAAGGTCAGAGGAACAAGGAAGCTTTTGTTTTTAACATATGGAAATCCAGTCATGTATACAGCCAAACACCAAAATTTAAACTGGCCACAATGCAGGGAAATAAAACATTCCATACCTGAGGTACCATGTTCTTGAAAGACTCCATGATCTTAGAACTCTTTGCTTCTTGGTAGTAGGAGAAGCAGCCAGTTATGATGACAACAGCAGCCAACACGATACCCAAGTACAACTGCAAGAAGCAAAATGGAATGAAAATGTGTCATGGCTGAGGGGTCTGTTTCAACTACATGCATTATATGTAATACCACCATTAGAGCACAGCTGCTTGCAGTTTTTGCACAAATCAACAGGCATAAATCAGCCAAGATTTAATTAACATTCAAGGAAACAACAGTTACTTCCATTAATGGGAAGGATCTTTGGCGGGCTGAACTGAGCTTTTCAAGGCGTACAATAATAGAAGAAAACGGATCAGTTTGAGCAAAACCTACGTTTGCAGGAAGAGTTCCTGGACTGAAAGTTTAAACTCAAGACAAAACAGCATGTCTAGTACAATTCAGATGAGCCTCCCACAGTAGTATATGTACACTGGCTACTCACGTTGTCATTATCCACCTCCTCCTCCAAGGCAGTTTTGATACCATAAGCCAAGAAACAAAGAACAGCTCCAATCCAGAGTAAGAGGGAGAATCCTCCAAAGAGCTGCCGGCAGAACTTTACCCATTCAGGAGTGGTGGGTGGAGGTGTGAGGCTGTTTGGGCCATCTCGAGCCAAAATCTCAGCAGCACGAGCAGGTGTCAGACCCTAAAACACAGGGGGAACAGGTAGGTCAGATACCGAACAGCTGTAACAATCATATTAAGCCATAAAGCTTCCTCATAGGCACAGTTTACAGGTCTACAGGAAAAAGGAAGGGACTGGGAAACCATTTGCAGTTCTTTCCTGTCCTACTTGAAAAAGGGTCTCGTCTACTTTGCTTCCCAGCTTCGCTGATCTCAAGGGGACTGAGTAAGTGTCAATGGGAAGCTAGTGGGCATTTGTTCAGCTGTTACCAAGATACTGTAAGTAGGGACCTACCTAATTTGTGGTGGCTGCCTCCATATTTCTGTAGTTCCAGCAAAGCATCAGGCTCCATTTTCACGGCAGAGCACAGCAGGGCCCCCCACACCTGCCAATCTCTGGGGCAGATGGGACTTCTGGGACCCCTCAGCCAGAGACATGGTGGGGGCCCTGCCATGCTTCGCTGTGAAAAACTTTCCCTTCTTTCTCTCCCACATGATTCAGGATACCAGGCCTTCTTCCCTCTGTTTGAAGATCCCCACTCCCTTTCCCCCAGCTTGCTGGCCATTTTCCTGCTTTTTTGCAGGAATGGGCTTTTTCCCCCCACAGGCAACCTACCAAATTCCCAGTTTCCATAAAAATTGCAAAATCATGAATTTGGTAGGTCCCTAGCTCTAAGTTTTGCATGATATATATGACTTCCATTTCTACTTCACATGTGAAAGTAACAGTTGGTGAGGAGATAAAAAGGGGCCAGGAATTCAAAAAGACAGGCCTTCAGCACGAAGGCCTGTCTTTTTGAATTCCTGGCCCCTTTTTATCTCCTCACCAACTGTTACTTTCACATGTGAAGTAGAAATGGAAGTCATATATATCATAGGCATATATCAAAGGCCATATATCATATATATCATAGGCCATATATCAAAGGCATGATACAAGTGGTCCACGGTAAAGTGCCTCCCTCAACATATAGCAGAAGCAAAAAGATGAAGATAACAAGAAGAGACAATAGTCTGATTTTAGTCTCCTGAAAAGTTCTGAGTTCCAAGTAGTCAAGATTTGACAAGAGAATTAAGTTGCTCAATTTAAGTTGCTTCTAAACCCCAGAAAAGAGAGAACTTGGTGCTATGTACAACTATGATACACCCACTGCCCTCCCACCAAAAAAACCCAAACAGTTGTCAACAACTAATTATGCCAACTAGGTGAGAAACAGCCATTACTTCTGTTCTTACTTCTGGTACTTCTGTATTCCAAAAGCTGATCAAATTATTTATGGTTTTTAAGCATCTCTTAGTTAAAAATGTAACATCTCTTTTTTTAAATTGCCATTGGTTGTCACTTAATCTCGGGCCATAAATTAGCTTATGGCAGAGGACTCCTACACAAGAACATCTGCTATAGAACACAAGCAAATAGTCTTATTGTAGGAGTTCCTAATGCAAAAATTAAGAATCAATCTGAGTTTGGAATACCTGAGACTCAGATAAGTAAATACCAACTTTTTTTTCTTTTTTTTTAGCAAAGTCATTAGAGTATTTAAGCCAGGAAACAGTGGGAGAAGAGAGAGGTACCAGTGAAATCTACTGCCAGTCCAACAACTCTTCCAATGGCTGCAAAATTTAACTGAAACAGTGAAGATTAAGAATCTGAGGCTAACCCTCCACACCCCCTGGCCTATCTTCATAGCAGACAGGCTGGTGAGGCTGAAGCTGTTCCTTCTATACCCAGAAGGGAGGTAACATCAAAATCTACCTACCCGACTTAAGTCTGTTCCATATTTGCGGTGAACTTCATCAAGGCTGAGTTTGTGATCATCCTGGAGGGCAGAGAAAAGAGTGATTAGAGGGAAAAACAGTACCTGTATAAGTGGGGAGCAGAGGGTAAGAACTTTCTACTCTCCAGTCCCTTGGCAATCACTTCCAAGGACAGAGAATCTCATTGCAAGGAAGGTAAGTTAGGATTGAGGAGCTATCCAAGTGGTGACCTGACCACGTAGCTCTTCCCTTTTAGCTCCACACCAGCCTAATGTTAGGCTTCTCTACTATATGCTGAGAGGAATATGACAACTAACGAACGTAAGCTGCTCTTCAGTGTTGCCTAGAATTCTGGTCTGAATCCCAGAGAAGTTTCTTTGGGTGGGTGAAAGGAAGAGGTGTAAAGACAACTTGTTAAGCACTCCAATCTTCCCTTGCTAACATAAAAAGGAATCTTGTAACTGTCCTAAATGCCAAGGCAAATGAGATCTAAATCAGAACATGCAGAAAAAAAAAAAAACGTATGCATCATTCACTAGTTGAACTGATTCCTCCTCAAAATGATTTGTGATGCGAGATGTACCAGATAAAGTCTAGATCACTGATTCTCTGACAGGGTGCCAGGGCACCCTGGGGTGTCATGAGATCCTTTGAAGAGTGCCACAGGAAAAGGGAGGAGATAAGGAGATAAGGCCAGGCTCAGGTTTTCCCTGTCTGGCTGTTTCTCACATCCCCACTGTCCGCCTGTGTGAGGAGGTAAGCACTCTCATATAGATATCAATATGCTGTTCAGTTGACAGAAGTTATGGAGAGGTGCCTCAAGCCTATGAAGGTTGAAAACCACTGGTCTAAATGCACAAAACAAGATGGTAACTACAGAGCTAAAAACTATAGCTTAATGCATGCCACTACCAGAGTAGGCCACGACTCTGAGTGAAATCAGGCAAACTACATTTTTTAGTGAGTGATGGCTTCTAAACAGTAGAGTGATTGCACTGACACAAATGGGGTAGCACTTGCTCTAGAAATACATTAGGGCAGGACCTGAACCAGGCCAGGTATTTTTTGGACACCCCAATATAGAGTCAGATTTTCTCTAGGTGCTTGAACACCTTGGAAAATTGGCCTGAGAAGCTAAAAGTCTGAAGAGATTACTGAAGAGACCAGGAGAGGGAGGGTCAGAAACTTCCGTCACTACACTTGACAACTCAGCAGCTTCCAACCACTCTGCTTCCACAGAAGTGTTTTCAAGCCAGTACATGTTGCTAAAGAGCCAGCCCTGCCCTTTCTTCATGCTCTTACCATTGAAACTTCCTTTTTCAGTTCATCCATATCCCTCTCCTTCTTCCCCTTTTTCTTCTTGGCGCCATGTTCTGATGTGGCGGTGGGCTCATACTTGTCACGTCCACTCTAAGAAAAAAAAGTTAAGCAGTCAGAGAAGCCTTGTGTTTATTAACTGTTGGAATACATAAGGGGTCTGCATTCTTCTCGTACGTGGAATTTCATTGTCAGATAAACTATTTACATTTAAATTATGCCGCTTTCCTACAAACAAGTAAGCAAACAGTCTTGTCCGCCCAACAACATCCATATGCTATGCTGATTATTGCCAGGGATTATGCAAGTGCTGGTTTAACTAGTACAGAGGGGCTACATGCTGTGGCTTGGTTTAGAAGTCTGAGCCTTGGTCCAGCTGAAGTGATAGACTGCACATAATCCATTCCCAAGTGCATAAGGAGACTCTTTCCAAGACATTAAAGATATTAACCCCTCCTCTTCCCTTGGTCTTTCTTAAAGTGCAAGGAGAAATTCTGCAGTACAACTAATATTTTCTTGTTCACATAGCCTTAGAACTTGTGAAAGTTAACATCAAAACACTCCTTGCTCTGAAAGTCTACCAGATAAATACTGCAGGTTAAAATAAATTCAGCCTTAAAAAACAAACAAAAAAAACCCAACAGATCTCCCCCTGTAAATATTTTGACATTGTAAGCAGGATGTAACCCTGGGGCTGGACCAGATGATCCTTTGGGGTCCCTTCCAGCCCTATGTTTCTAAGAAAAAGTGTTTGTTATGGCAAGCCATAGGAATCCACCCACTCTTACACCTCATGGAACAAATTCTACTTATAGACCTTGGTTTTCAGCAGTTTCCGAATCCCTCAAATTACAATAAATTCTGCATGAAATCATGCTCTAAGGCTTAGTTCAAGAGTAATAACCAGCAGGCAACAGATATATAAGCAATAGAGTCTACTTTCTTATAGATGTCCCTAGCAATTATAAAACAGAGAAGATGAGCCATATAGAAAGCAAAAGCACCTCTGAATAGAAATAAAACTAGTAGCCTGTCACCAAAACTATTTGCACATATTTCCACAGACAAAAAAAAAAAAAATATGCCTCAATGTTAACACAAGCTTTCTCTGTAGATTTCCATACTTGCCTAAGTTTCATGTGACACAGCTATTTCCTTTCTCCCTTTTGCTCAACATCTAATATAAGCTACTGTAAAATTTTCCCATGACATTTTCCATTCTAATTAGAACTATATGCTCCAACAGATACATGTGATATAATGACCATCACCTGCAATACACATCTTATAAAACTGATAGATAAGGAAATGAATAAAACTGCTACGTAGGGTATGTTCCCATTATGTGCAGATACTCTGAACTAGGAATTACAATCCCTGCTAAAACAGACCAAAGGAGACTGAGAACCTATTATCTTATCTATGTCTTATTAGACACAAGCTTTTATAAAACATGGCAACGAGGGATTTTTTTTAAAGTTACAGTGTGCCAGGAAAACTGACCAGAAACTGAAGAAAAAAAAAAAAATCAAGAGCAAAACCAAACATTCTTGTCCAAACTGACAGAAAATAATAATTGTATCCGCCCCCCTCCTTCCCCCCTTGTATATTCGTGGTTCTTCCTTTTTCATGTCCTTGTGACAAGGACGTGAAATTTGCAGATTCATTGGAATTTGACAGGGCCACGCCATGGGCACTTGTGCTGTGACAAACTTGCGACCTCTGGGCTGACAACTGTGTGCCTTAGCACCCATGCCACCCCAACCCCTGGTATCTGTGAGGTGAGATGCATCCAGACAAGGGTCAGGATGCACTAGTCAAATTTTATATACTCCCCCAACCATGTGTAGTATCTATGGCTTGCATATGATTTTATATGGAGCAGCACTGGGTTGCCTTTTCCACTAAAGGTGAGCATTTATGTGCTTCTGCCTGCAACATGTACATGTAAGAAAGAGCTGTTCTGTCAGAACAGTACTGCAGGCTATTTTTAATGAATGGTATGGAACTTGTCCTCTGCCTCCTCTTTATCTGTAAAGAATGAAGGAGAGTTAAAGAACAGCATTCTTGACATTCTCTTCCCTGTGCTCAAACTGCACTTGGTTTTTTCTAAGGTGAAAGCAGCAGTGCGTACGACAGCCCTGACATTCCAAGACAGAAAAATCTGCTACAGGGTAATTTGAAACCGGTTTTAAAAAAATACAACCCAAAAACCCAACACTGCTATAGCATTTTCCCAAGGCTTGACCAAGGCTCTTTCCCATCACATGAGTGCTAGTTAAACTGTTCTTAAATTAAAAGTGTCCTAACTAAACAGCAAATTGACGTGCAGGCTGGAGCACACAACATACATACAGTATATACAGTTAGTTCCTCGTCTCTTGCTTCAAGCTTAAAAAGGAAATGAGATTTTGAGGGAGAAAAAAAATACACACAGGATGGAGTGCATAGTGCTACGTGTGGAATCTGCTCATGTCACTCTTTCTACTGTTTTTACATGAAGTGCTATGTATGTTCAGAAAGAAGTTGGATTAATTTACCCATTTAGCCCCACTGTCCAAGTCACGTCCTGAGTATCCAAGCTGTCTCAAGGCCCTCACTGAGCAGTGCTCAGCTGAAAACATGCAGGATTAATTTGAACCCACTCGTTTCAGGCTCCTCTGTGACTCATTCCTGTTAATTTCTGTTTTGGTGTGTTTTTTAGTAAGGCCTTGGACACCATTCTGCAACTCCCAACACCTCCTCCTCCTTCTAAACCGACAGCAGCAGAACAGCAACTGCACGTGGTATTATATTAGGTTATTTTGGGCATGATAGCCAAGTTAAAGCTAAAAATATCAGGAAAAAACCCAAACAACCCCTGCATTTCCCCTGATGAGTACAACTTTTCCTGGCCAGAATGGGGGTAGGGGCAGGGGATGGCTTATTCAACACTTCCACCAAAAAAAGTTAAAGTTTATTTTTTTTACAGATATTAAAAAAAGGTGCAGTTTTCGGATGTGGTGAACACCCACGGTGCCTACTAACTTCCTTGAGAGTTGCAGGCACTCAGGTTTGGGTTTTTCAAAGGTGCTAGATTTCCACCTGGTATGACTGAAAACTGCTGTGATACGGTGCAACATTTTCCTCAAGCATTATTTATAATAAATACATATCTGAAAGCTACAACTAGGATACAGAAAAAAGAACAAATTGTCACTAACAAGTTGCTATGTCCTGAAAAATTCAACTTACCGCTGGCAAAAGGCTTAGAAGTGTTCCAAGACAACACCATGACTTATAAGCAACAAAAATTTGCCTTCACTTTAACCACTTCACACAGGCCTAATATATTGTAATATTTGCTTTGGATTCAGATTCAGCCGATTCGAAGGACAGTGATTTGATTTCGCAATTCGAATCACTGTCCCAATTCGATTCAGCTGAATCTGATTTGGAGATTCAGCTGCTGCCAAATCTCCGAATCAGCCAGGCCAGGCTCATCCCCCGCCCCACTCCCAGCCCGGCAATGGCTACCCCAGCTCCTGACACTTGTTATAAAAAAAAGGCCCAGGCTTAGTGAGTGCTGCCGGGCAAGGGCTGATCCCTGCTGACCCCCACTGCCCCATGCTGTATAGGGACCCCCCACGCAGTGTGGGCCAGCAGGGATTGTCCCCCCTGCCTGGCAGCACCCAGTGAGCACCAGGGCTTTTCTTTAGAGCACTGGGAGCTGGGGTGGGCTGGTCAGCCATGAGGGGGTGCTGGGGGAGGGGCTGGCAGGGGTCCTCCTATGGTCCCCTCCCCCCTCCCTCTGCCCCTAGTACTTATCATCTCTGAGTCAGCTGAAGCTCCCTGCTACAGCCACTGGGGATGTCCTAATCATCAAAGCTCTCCGAATCTTTTCCAAAGATTCAGAGAGCTCCAACCTTTAAATTGGTCCCCTGATTCAATTCGGAGATTAGGCCACCGAATCGGGCCGAATCTCCTCCTAATCGAATCACCACCTGAAGTTTCACACAGCACTACAATATATGTCATTTGGGGGCAGCTAGACAAGCCAGATTACTTTAAACATCAGTCTAATACAAGAAGCAGAGAAACCACTACACTTTTAGTCTCTACCTCTATAGTCATTGCCTCTTTGTTCTAGCAAGATGGGAAGCGTGTGTTCTTCAGAGTGCAGCCTGTCACAGTGCTCGAAGTTGCAGGGGTTCACTCTGCTGCCAACATCCTTGGGATTTACTATTTTGATTCCCCAATGTCTCCTCCTTAGCTGCAGTCATAAAATGAAAGTAAGGCATCTGGCTTTTTGTTCACTATTTCTTTCCAACCACTGACCTACCAGTTATGCTGGTGATAGGAAGGAAGCTCGGAAACCTACCCCTGGAAGTGCTACACACATGCACAAACACGACAAAGGTTTCAGATACTTCACCAGCTCTGGTGCTTCATTCAGCCGCATAACTATGTGCATGAACTATTAGGGGAACCTACCCCTGAAAAAGGTTGAGAAGCTTGCCTGGATATGTTCGGGTTTTTTTTAAATGATGTTTATGACTGGCTCATAACAAGTTATGACTGGCTCAGCTTACAAGCCAGTGTTAAGGACTTACAGAGAACTGTGCCTATGCTGCACCCCAAAGAAACACAAGATAAGGAAGAATAAGGCAGGCTGTGTAGACACATTAAAAAGCAAGGGCAATTAATAGCAGTGTAGGAAAGTGGTGAGGAAGATCAGATTAAGAGAAGTTCAAAACTGCTATTCTACATCTAAACTCAAAAGCAGCACAGAAGAACCAAACAAAATAAAGCAGTGATTACCAGTGACTCATAAGTTATGTGGTGTGATCACACATTCACATCATTATAATCAATGAGGCACAGAAAACAGAAAGAGCTGCTGCCTCACTATTTCAAAAACAGATTCCAGCAATTGAAGTTTCCAAACAAGTCATGGAGAATGACCGCTTTCCCCATGACTGGAAACACGGCAACTCTACCCCCTTACCAATTTAGGAAGCGAGGTTGGCAGATGGTGTAAATCCCTCCTGCCCTCACAAAAGTCACCCCAAAAACATGCGATTAGCTTCCCATTTCTGGTAGTTTATTCATAT